TAATAATTATTCAGATTTTAATTTTTTTGTTGTTATTTCTCATATTTATTAATATAAGAATCTATCCTCGAATTATTATATATATTTCCGTCAGTCAAGAATAAGTTATACGTATATTTGTAACATGTTTTTGATTACCTCCCAATCCTTTGTCATCTTTTCCTTCTTGACTTGAGCAAATAACTCTTTCCTCTCCAAAGCTTTTGCCTTTTGACTTTTGGACAACCACGTGCCATCCGCTAAATCTTTCAAGCTCACTATATTTTTGGGCAAATGGTCTCGTTTCTTCTCAGCTGCGATAGTGGCTCTTCGTTCGGTCTCTTCTTTATGTCGTTCGACTAAATCGCGAGGTGGACTCGTTAGCGCACCACCGCTAACACTAAAAGGATGCCATCGTCGATGTTTGTGCGGAATCGCTGTTGAGACTTCCTGAATCAACTGGTTTTTTGTAAATTTTTGCTTCTTTGTAAGTAGCAGTGTTTCTGACATTTTCGGCGACACATATTTGACACGTCTTGTTTCATTTACTTTACTGGATATTTCGTACTCTTTATTTTCAGCCATATCTTTGTTATTCAAACTATAATCTGTTAAAAATATAGAAAATATTAACGTTAACTGTTCAACATGAATTTTCATTAATTGTCGGCAAATACTACCGAAGAAAAAATATGTAGTTTTTATTATCCGTCGTTGTTTCCTCCAACGAGAAGCCAGAGAATTTTTCTGCTGATATACGTTAATGCGCAATAACTAAATCTAAATTGTCAAATAACAAGTATATCGACGATAACGTATCATTTTTAGCTCAAACCTAATGTATTATATATATTCACAACACGTAACTATGACAACAGAGGAAAAGTATCTAGAACAAGCGAGAAAGCTATAAACTTGTGTATTTACTTTTTATTTTGTGCATGTTCTTTATATTAGAATATAAAAAATAACATATTATTTGTACGTATACATACATACGTACATATTTTTCTATCGTAATTCAATAAACATTATTATATATTTTTACATACTATATCAATTTTTATATTAAACATTAGTATATAAAAGTATTCTTTATGAATATATAATTTATATTCTTCTATATATATAATAGTTTGAGTTTGGCAAGTCGTAGAAGCAATAATACTTTTGAGGGCACACTTGTCAGTACTTTCTATATATACAGGGTGTCCCGCAATCGTCCATTTTCTTCGCCGGCCGCGGCGAACTGTATGTCCCACCTGCTGTATCGCCACGCTCTGATTAGTCCAAATATTTTTATTAATATTTCGAAATTTTACGTGGTTGTTTGAAAAATGACTTCTACAATATTTGTTCACTTTTATCTATTCTACTTATATTTTTCTTTTGGCACGTTTTATGCGGGACACTCTGTATAACTATATTCCTAATATATTTTGCTGATTTGTCAAACTAATGTATGTTATTCTATATACAATCATCTTTCTTCGGAACTGGTCGATGGTAAATTACGTCGGCGAGAAAGCGAAATTCCTTCATTTCTTTGGTTTCGTTTAATAAGTCCAGCATGTTGAATAAGATTAATTCCGCTATGAGCAGAGTCATTTGTCACAGAACGAGAAGCTGAAGAGAAAAAATAAACTATTACAATGCTTCTTACATACTTATTAATATATATAATTGCATAGATTTATATATAATTTGATAACATGACTCACGTTCATTAGCGAAATTAGTGAAACTTTTCATAAGGAACTGCTTATCTTGAGACTGTAGAAGAAGCATCTCGGACAGAATCTGTAGCATTTCTTTGCTAGCTTTCACTTTTGCCCGTAAACAGTACACCGCAACACTTAAACGAAGATTCTTGGTAAATTAATATATTGTAGGATTATATATGTACATATACATATATATATATATATATATATATATATATATATATATATATATATATAAAATATTTACCACATGCCAATTAAGATAGCGGCACCAGTCACAGGTCTTGCAAGTTCCGAGACGACGCTCCAAAATCCACTATCTCTTTTCAATGCCAACATTCCGTCGACAATGAAGTCCCAAGCATAAGAATGGTTTCTAAATGGTCCACAGCCGTTGCTCTTCACGTTTGAAATAATGTATCCTATGATGAGCAACACCCCGATTATGCCGAGAAAGGCAAGTGCCAGGAACAGCGTTTGCGTTTGCGCCGCTCGCCAAGGCTGGGATGGCCGTTGGTAACATCTTTCAAGTTCGTATTTCTTTATGTAAAATGTGATAATTAATTTTATCACAATTATAAGAGACATCAGGGGACTAAAGTAGAAGCCCATCCAAAAGAGCGTCTGATTATATATTAGATTTAGTGTACTGCGAGCTATGTCGAATTCCGGTCTGCCGATCTTCGTGGTAAACCTTTTGTACAATGTGGCGCGTATAAACTGCAAACTCGCACCAAATATAGAAGCAATAAAGTCTAGCACGATGAGTCGATAGATCTCTTCTCCAAAGTCCGTTTGCCAGCAATTCGATGTATTGTTGATCAACCAGAAAGCAAACAAGATACCAAATATCGTCGCACCAACCGCGTGATTTCTGACCACTGTTATGTAAAGTTCTGTACGCTTGTTGTTGTAACGTTCCAACAATGCCTTGAAAATATTAATATTATTTGATTTATAGTATTTTATTTAATTTATAGTATAATGAAGCATGTCCTGCATACATGTAAATATGCATGTATAATAGCAGGAGTTTAATTAAATATATTTCTTTCTATAGATAAATATAAAAGCTTATGTACTTACTAGATACGAAATAATTGCGGGAAAGATATGAATGATAACAGTGATCACTATTGGTACAATCATTACTGAGATGGATTTAGAATTTCCTATATTGTAGTGATCCAACAACTTCCACACGAGTGCACCAATGCCACAAATCATAAACAGAACAATAGCTGTCACAGCAAGTTGCATTATAATTAACGAGCACTTGGCGAACCAATGTAAAGGCACATGTTGTCTCCTTTCAGCTAACAGCTCTTCCAATTCTTTGTAAATAGATGCTGACTGTATAATAGCGGTTTTTGGCGAAGATATACTGCAGTCCCATCCACAAAATATCATGTTACTGTACAAATCGTGCACTTTCCCACTTGTTTCAACATAACACTCTCTATAGGAGGATATCACTCTGAAAAGAATTAAAATTTTTATTAAATCACGAAACACTCGATATTTATGACCAGTGTAATTTAATAATTTATCACATACTTGACAGAAAGTATAATAAATGAAAGCTTGTAACAAAAAAGCAGCGTCAGGAAATAAGCAGATGGAATGCTATATTCAGTACCAAATGGTGTATCTACTGTGCCATTGGAATAGAAACCATAATACATTATTGTGCGAACAAAAAAACCCTGTAACCCAAGAGATTATAATGTGTCTTATCAGCTGAAAAACAGTGATTAGATGCTCATTATTCTACTATAATATTTTTTCTCATACACTGCCTGTTAAAAAGTCCAGTATCTTAACATCGTTTGGCACATGTGTTTGATCCAGTGATTGTGGAATTACAATGAAGGATATACTGCAATCATAAAAATCTATCAAAGTTCTGTTTGTTTCACTTTACATAGTACTATATGTATAGTATTATTTTTCACCAAATAGTATATTTCCACTGTAACTGAAATTTCGTGTAACTAAAATAAAAGAATATATTTACCTCAAAATGCAGGATATTATATTAAGGAATAGTAGCCATCTTAGGAATTTGAAGTATGTTGCTATACCACTTCCACTGCGACTCTCAATGGCTTTAATTGTTTGATGCCACAACTTCATTGTTTGCAATGAATTCTGTGCCACTATCCGAATCTATATTTATTCCATTTATTAATATTTATATTAACATTAATATATAATTTAAAAAGGATAATTTCAGCAACATCAACATTACCTTTCTAAATTTTAAACTGATGTTATATCCTAACAATTTCCAATAGCTAATTGGTTTTTCTTTTGTCTTTTGATTAACAGTTGCTAATAGCTGAGATTTTACAAATCTTTTTACAGGAAGGCAATGTGGCATTGCTTTCAATGTTTCCATCCTGAAGCGTTTTGATATAGGATCATCCTGCATAAATTTACTACTGGATTGCAGGTGATTGGCAATTGCACAAGCACACTCTTCATTAGATAATTGAGTAATATTGCGCATTCTTAAAGTAGCATATGGAATAATAGAAGTTAAATCTTGTGGTATGATGTATTCTTCATTTTCTCCTGTAAAAATAAAATTTCTTCCTTATATTAAACTGCATTAACAATTCCATAAAAGTATGTAGATTAAAATATTTTAAAAATATACTTACTTACAAATCTAACTGGCAGTAATTGTTCCATATGAATATATTCGTCAGAAGATTTACACAGATTTCTTTCTTCAATTGTAAAAGACATTTTAATATAACTTTTTGCCAAAATTCTGTTCTGAAAAGATAGAATCATCACAAACATTATTATGATAGAAAATTTTACATATATATATATATATATATATATATATATATATATATATATATATATATATATATATA